TTTCAACTCCTCTTGATGTGCTCTTTCGAACACATTGTAAAAAAATATGCATATTAAAAACTTCAAAAGTGGCAAAAAACATAACGCCATCACTGTGACGTCACAACTTTGACATTTACTGACATTTCTCACGTAAATATAATTGGCAATAGGTCTCCTGCTCATATGCCAAGTTTGGTGTAGAAAGAGTCAATACTTTTTAAGTAATGCGAAATAGTGTGAAATACCCAAGAACTGACGAAACATTTGGGGGGTGGTTTGGCCCCTACGTGTAGGAAGAATTTCAGTTTGACGTTTCAGTGAAAGTTCCATTGTCGCCAGTGTTAATTTGTCTAATCAGGAGCCATAATTATGGCTCCTGGTCTAATCAAATTTGAGGGTGATCTCCACCGATACAATCTTTAATTATATCGCACACTTCCGGGTAATAACTTTATTCAATAAATGTAGTCCAAATTCAGATAATCAAAGTCTATTTTTTTTCAAGTAACAAAACGAAATGAGATTTCAAAATCCCCTGGTCCTCAGAAAACAAGTCAATATGTTTGAACAAAATAGGGCAAAAAGAAAGATATGTGTTTCTTACCTTTGTTTTCAATGTGAAGTCTTTTAGTCACAACTGTGGAAGTCATCAGTGCGATAACGAGGAGAAAAGTCAAAATCTTCATAACAAACGGGTCCATCTCCAGTATGGAAAAAGCGGCAAAAAGTGTGCGAGATTTAGGGACAGCAACGCCTGGAACACTACCCGGAAGACAAAATGGAGCAAAAATGATTTATTTGGTTAAAATGCACTCATTAGAATGGGAAGATTGTCCAATCATAATAGATCTCTCCACAATGCATTATTAAATTACATCCTCGGAACCGTCAGGCTTCAGAAATTCCAAATATATTTCCCTTAAATTACGTTAATTCACGATTTTAGAACGGTTAGAGGGGGTGGAGGCCCATGCCACGAGTAGTCAAACTATACGAACGTAGAGGATTTTTGTAACTTGTTACCGGCGTAACATAGTTAGTATAAGAGAATGGTTATGAAATCCGTTCTTTGTTATATGTTTTTGTTCTCTTTTTTGGCCTTGACCGTGCACAGAACACAATAGTTGTTTACCTCTGACTGAAGAACTAACCAATAGAAACGCTTCGTTATGTATTCATGCATAGTGTATAAGCGCAAAACAAAAGAATTTGGACGGTCGTGGACCTTCCGACATAAATCTTAGCATCTTTGTTTGCTCCTTTCATGTTTGTCTGGCTTCATAAACATTTTCCTCTCTATTAACTATAGGCATAAGAAGCGATGAAAAATCAACATAACCTAAACATGAGTATGAATCTTAGCGCCAAACTGGCGAAGGTTTTACTAAATTGAACTTTGTTTTACAAAGAAATAGAACAAAAAAACCTTTTAAGATATTTGATTTCAAAAAATAAATACAATTCCCTAATATCACTATCAGATATCACGAGATACGTTTCTCTTCTAGTTACGAAGTTTCATTTTTAAATAAAAATATCCTAGCAATAGTTGGTTGTATTTTTTTGTCTAAGAGTTCAGCGATGTCAATCCTCACCACTTGAAAATAACTCAGCACTTCATCAAGATAACTATAGATTGGAATTAAGTCGGGGAGGCGGAAATTGCAGGTTTTAAGATGTCAACTCTAAATGGGAGCAGGTTAAGCTTTGTTTGACCTGACACAATTGAACAGAAAAATCTTTAAGGATATTAAAATTCACTGAAGTGAGGTAGGTGAGTTGGAATTTCTAACGAGCTCCTGATAAAGTTTATTTTCTCTCCGTTCAGTTTTATCTTGTTTAACACGACATCAATATATCAAACTTATGGTCTCTGGGGGTTAGGAAAGCGAGGATTTATCAAAAGGTCTGAGGTAAAGATGGCTATGTGTTTGCTCATTAAAAACATTACAGCAACATCCGAAGCAAAAATAGAATGGTTGTATGGGCATTCTTTGTGTAAATTGTCAGGGACCTGAATAGCTACAGAGATAAGAATTCTGCAGCACCGTTACGCAAAACCATCAGTTAACTCGACTAACCTTAGATCTAGTGCTTGCTTTATCTGCAGTCACATGTCAAGGTTATCGAATACCTTAAAAGGTGTCTCACGTCCAAGCGATGTAGCGCGTCCGGCTTAAACTGTAAATGCCGGTGATAATTAGAGCTGATAAAGCTGGCTATCAAACTATACCAAGAATTTTGAAATAAAATAAATTGTCGATTTTTTTACGACCTCTAAATGGGAGCGTCCGAATCACCTGTTGAAAGCTATAACTCGAATACAATTTTGTTTTTCGCTTATTTAAATTTTTCCTCAGTTTCCGTACCCAAAGTGCTAAAAGTAGATGCCTGATGATGTTCCATATTCACATTTAATGAAAAGTTACAGAACATTTTCGAAATAGCATTAAAAAAATATGGAGTGACTGAAGAAAAATCGTTAGCGGAGAAAAAATATTTCAAGATAAAAAATTCGTAGACAGGTTTTTGTTGTTTATATATCAAACTAGTAGCTGTCGAAATTTGAGTGTAAACGAACAAATTCCCTGTGACTTGTAGCTTTCAAAAGGAACCCAAAAGATGATCCGGGCGCGGGGTGAAAAATTCAAAAATTCATTTTATTTCAAAAATTCTCGTTACGGTGTGATAGCCAACTATATAAGCTGTAATTTGATATAGGGGCTTCGGTATTTACAGTTTAAACCGGACGCGCTACATCGCTTGGACGCGAGACACCTTTAAAGGTGCTCTAAAGGTATACGGCAACCTTAAGACTTCTTAGCAGCAAAAAAACAGTTCAATTTTACTTCGTCCTTGGAAAGTTAAAACAAACGCGACTGTAAGTAATCATAGTTATTATTTTCCAGTAAAATGTACAAATTAATTCACAGTTCCGATGAGAGTTGCTGATCATCTTTCATCTTAAGCAAGCAGTCCAGTCACACACAATAACATCAAATCTTTCTCTTGCTGAAACATCGCGCTTTTTGAGTACCGTCTTCTTCAGTCACAAGAAAGCTTAGCAAACCACGACGGCAGCGGCAACGAGAACGTCACCAAACAAATTAAAAGCTTTAAGAGTAAAAAAATGGTTGTGCACGGGCGTTATAAATATTTGAACATTTCTTTGCCGTCCCCTGCACAACAGCAAGGTGAAATGACTACGTTTTGCGTATTTTGGAGACGCAAACGGTGGTAGCTAATTTTCTGTATCTTCACTTGGAATTGAATGTTGGCGCACTTACATATTAGCGTTACACGTTTGGCTTGAGCAGGTTTTGAGACCGATAGCGCACTGAACAGATCTAGACAACTGCGAAGTTTGAAGATGAAATATAAATAGACAACTGTGATATTCAGAGTTAAAATAGAACTAACTCATTTTTTACCAGGCGTTATTCTCGGCGTCGTCGTCGTCATTGTCTATAACCGCTCTAATTTGCGATCGTTTCCAGTCAAGGGGAAAAAACATAATTATCAGTATGATAAATTCGAGATATATAATAACTATAATAACAATAACTAATTGCATTCTGCTAAATTAGAGCTTTTAATCTTAACTACTCGAAATGCCTTTTTTTCTCAGGAGAATTTTGGTTTGGTTGAGTATTTTGAAAGCGATGGAATCGAAGTTATTGAAATTAACTAAACAAAGTGGCCACCTACTGAGTTAAAGGCGTATCAACAACGGGATCTCGAGCAGGTTAAAACACTGGACAAAGGAAAATTGTTCAAGCTATTCGCTTTCAAGAAAAGGTGGAATTTCTAAGGAGTTTCTGAGGAAGAAAGCTATCTTGTTAATTTCTGCAAATTGCATTCTTATACATTTAAACTTTTTTTCAGCAATCAAAAGAAAAATCAATACGTTTTATATTAACCTTAACCCATTCTAAACCCGATATGTCGTCACCACGAAACGAGTCAGCTCCTTTGGCTTGTTTGCTCCTTTGTCATCCACTGCCGAGCCAAACGTGCTACTAAATATATTGACCAGGACTTAAAGCATTTATAGATTAGGCTGGTTCTTTTATCCACTGCCGAGCCAAACGAGCCAAACGAGCCACTAAAGGTATACA